CGAAAAAAAAAAACCAAAAAAAAAAAAAAAAAAAAGTGGTCAGCCCAAATAGATGTCGAATATGAGAAATGCAGTGCAACCTGATGATGGAAATAGACGAAGAACAACTCCTCGACGATGGGAAAGATGAAAAACCAAACTGTAGGCAACTAAAATCAAAGACCTAGACGGAAGAGCTAGATGTTGGAAGCTACAGGATATCTCGATTTCACCGAACGAAGAACTGCCTATAGATGACGCCGTAGACTACGAAGACGCCGCCTGAAACATGAAGACTGGACGCTAACAGAGAGCACGCATGGGTAAGATAATTTAGGGCTCTAATAACATGTAATTAGGAGAGAAGAAAAATAAGGAAAAATAATTTTTTCATACGTAAAATTATAGGAGAAATACACACACACACATGCACATTGGGAATTCTATATTAGAAAGAATCCTAATTAGAGATCCCTATAATTAAGGTTATATATATATATATATATATATATATATATATATTCTATAATAGTATTGATTGTATCTGATAGAGATCCCAGATTTACGTCTAACTTTGAAATAGTTTACAAGATGCTATGGAATCTAAACTAAAGTTCAGTATAGCATATCATCCACAAAATGGAAGGTCAATCAAAGAGAAGCATTCAAATCCTATAAGATTCAAATTTCGAGTGGAGGATAAAGTCTTCTTGAAAGTAGCACCGATGAAAGGAGTGCTCCATTTGGGTAAGAAGGAAAGGTTAAGACCTTGATCTATTTGAAATTCTAAAGAAGGCTGGAAATGGGGCCGACTGAATTGCATTGCCACCTAAATTTATAGCAGTGCATAATTTGTTTCACATCTTCATGCTTAGAAAGTATGTTCATGATCCTAGTCATGTGGTAGATTTTCAATTTTTGGAAGTACATAAAGATTTGACATATGATAAAGCACCAACAAAGATACTCAATAGGAAGGTACGCGTGTTAAATATAAAGAGATTCATCTAGTGAAGGTGCAATGGTGCGATCATGGATTAGAAGATACAAATTTGGAAAAAAAGAGGCTATCAAAGACAAATATCAAGAACTCTTTGACTAAGGTGATTTCGAGAACGAAAAACTTTTTAGGAGGAAGGGATGTAATATCCTAGAAATATTGAATATATAATATGATAAAATGATTTATATGCATTGTTGTAGTTGTTGCATGGTAATAAGTACTTTGAGTTTAGTTTGAAATTTCAAGGAAAGTTATCAAGTGCAACATCTTGAAGTTTGTGGACTCGAGTTTAAACAAGGAAAATATTCGTTTTATACAAAATAGAATTTATATAGGGCGGACCCATATTGGGTCATGTGGTGTCAAATGACCCAATTAAACTTTTGGTTTCTTTTTTATATTTTTTTCATAAAATAGTTGTTTTGACCCCTTTACCTCCTACTTTGATGCACGCATTACGAAATGTCAAATAAAATCAAAATACTACATTCTTAATACCATTTTAAACTGCTCGTGATTTAGTTTTTCGCTTTTTAATGGAATGCGAACCAACCAAACATAGCAAAAGTTATGATGCATCAAAGTATATCGTTCCAAATTAGTATTTCAAAATTTTTGATAATATGCTAACTTTCAAAATTCGTTGATGATTGTGTACTATCCTAATCGACAAATTGTTTATATCATGTAGAAGCTCATTTCGAGAACTACATCGTAGTCATATTGAATTATCCAAAATATATCGAAAATAGTTAAATATACATCAAATGTACATCTGAAAAGAGGCGTCTAGCTCATGTTTTCTTTAAAAGGTTTCAATTATTTCATTAACGTTAATTATTTTTGCGCGATAAATTTTTTAGTATAAAGTACATCAATTTATTAGGAAATTTTGCATTGAATATAACGTTAAAAAAAATTTAGGATTGTTGCTGATTAGATGTAATTCGAATTATTTTTACATTAAATTTAAATTTCAATTACTTTCTAGATTGAATGTGAATTTTATTTCAATTCATTTACTTCCTATATTCAATTTGATACTTTGTTTTCTTTCTTGCAGTCTTCTATTGAAGCTCAGCTAGTAGGAACATGTTTTTCTTTGTCTTCAGGTACATGGTTTCAAAAATCAAATCGTTCAAGGAAAATTCATATTTATGTCTTCAGCTACAGGTTTTCAAAAACCGAATCTTCCAGGAAAATTATTTTTCTTCATCTTCAGGAACATATTATCGTCTTGCAGTCTTCTGTTGGAGCTCAACAATCCAAGCATTGCATCTTACATATCTGGACGGTGGGTGGATTGCACAAAACAAAAAAGCCACAACTACCTGGATTTCATCCAACATACAAACAACGGAATTCAGGAACATCTTCACACAACCATTTTTCATAAACAACAACAAAGTTTAGGGAATTTTGCAGGCAACCAGTTTTCTTTCCAAAAAATTGTATACCATTCGTCATCAATGGCAGCAAGAAAGCATCTCCCAAGATTCAGATCTATCCACGAAGCCTTTATCTCCGATGGTAACCCACAACATGTATTGGGATCCATTTTCTCTCAATATAACTAGCACTATTGTGAAATGGCACTCCTGTCAGTTATATTTCTATATTAAATATATTGACCGGCAATTTATTGGTTAATTGGTGGAAGCGAACTCACACAAAAATGCTTGTTCAAATAAAAAGAATAATTTCAATTGGTGCATATGTTGGAGATGTCCTTACTAACAAAGTTTCGTTAACATGCAATTTCATCTTTTCATCCAATAAGAGTTCTAAACGATACTATTTCTATCCAAATTCAACATATTAAATTATCTCGAAATTTAATATTCAATAAAATTAAGCTAAGACTTCATCATTCTTAAAATTACTTACCAGATATATGTACTTATTTAATAGAACATTATAATGCTACTTTCCGCCAAATCTTATTTATATCAAAGTTTAAATCTATAAAATTAAAAAATGTTATACTTAAATATATTAGCAAACCAAGACTAATAAACGATCTTTAATAAATAAAGGAAAAATAAATTAAATAGGACTAACTAGTGTGATAATGGTATAAATAACACGACTTTGTCAATGAAATGGTAAACAAAATTTTACAAGTAGCAAAATTCATATAACAATATTGATAATGATATAATTATAAGATGTTTTCAAAATATCAAAATGCGTATTAAATTCTTTTCATTAATATTGTATTTTTTTTTATAAATTACACTTTAATTTTTGATCCACAACATAAAAAGTTTGGGTCTGCCCTTGAATTTATATGATCATCATATGAAGGATTTAAGTATTTTTAACCGTATAATTCAAATTTCAAAATATTTGGATAAATTTATCTTTTAAGTTATGAAATGAATATTCGTAATGATTCGAATTATAAATTCGGGGCATTATAGTTTTCAAATCTGAAAGTTGACTTCAAGTCTCTCAATGGCTTTATATACTAAGAATCGAAATCCACGAATACCAGCAGCCAGCCATACCTTTATCCACTTATTAGCAAACTTCTCATATAATGGCATTTTCCCCCATAAATTTCTTTAAATTAACTATGTCCAATAGCCAAATCCTTAAGCTTTTTGTTCTTCAGTGCCTATTCATATTTCTGTGTCTTCCTTGTTTAGGATTTCGTGCAGAAACAGACACTATTACAAGAAATCTTGTTCTAAATGACCCCAACACCATATCATCAAGAGGCAACGTCTTCAAATTGGGATTCTTCTCCCCTGATAATACCACCGAAAACCGCTACTTTGGTATATTTTACAGGCTACAGCATTTCTGAATCAACAGTGATATGGGTGGCCAACAGGGACAAGCCTATTCCAGGTTCTTCCAGCAGTGTAACGATATCCCGAGATGGGAATATCGTACTAACGAATGCAGAAAGTGAGATTGTTTGGTCATCAAATGTTACGTTAATGTCAGTGCCCACCTTTTGAGCACTGGAAATCTTGTTCTGCGAGATGATTAAAGTGACCGTACGTTTTGGGAGAGTTTTGGACATCCATCCGATTCTCTTTTGCCCACTTCGAGGTTAACTGACAACATAAATACAGGCAATAAGGTGATCCTGTCCTCATGGAAAACCCCGATGGATCCAGAAGTCGGAAATTTCTCAAATGGTTTCCAGGCTCTGAATATTCCTCAAGCCTTTATTTGGAATGGGAATCGTCCATACTGGCGAAGTGGTCCATGGAATGGGCTGATTTTTATTGGTGTACAAGAGATGTATTCTACATATACCGAAGGATTAACTGTGGTAAATTATCCTCCAGGAACTTACTCTTTCAGTGTGCCAGAGGGGAAATCCTTGATGAGAGTTACTTTGAATTCAAAGGGGAGTTTGGTTCAAACGATGTGGAATGATCACACATAGAATTGGGATATTACATGGTTGGCTCCTCAACACGAATGTGATGTTTATGGGACTTGGGGGCCATTTGGGAGTTGTAATGCTTTGAGTTCACCTATTTGTTCTTGTCTTAGAGGGTTTGAACCAAATAATTCTGAGGAATGGGGAAGAGGAAACTGGTGTGGCGGATGTGTCCTGAGGAAACCATTACTCTGTGATCGAATTAATAATGCGAGCGGTGCTGGAAAAGAAGATGGATTCTTGAGGCTTCGGTTCATGAAAGTGCCGGATTTTGTTGAACGGGGGCCCTTTAGGGCGGTAGAGGAGTGTAGAAGTCTCTGCTCGCTGAATTGTTCATGCATAGCCTATGCACGCGACACAAATCTTGGTTGTATGTTCTGGAGCCAAGAACTGATAGACGTTCAACAATATTCTAACGTTGGTGAAGATCTTTACATTCGTCTAGCTTTTTCAGAACTAGGTACTTATAGTTCTGTTGCCTTTGATAACTTGCCACATAATGTTTCATGAACTCGTTATTGATTAAGCCCAAGTAATTTGATATTTGATTTTTTCAGATGGGCACAAAGACAAAAAGCTGATTACAATCCTTCCAATAGTGGCGGGTTTGGTAGCCATTTTGATTTGCATTTTCATTTATTGGTGGTTGATGGCTAGGCGAAAAGGTAACACAGCATGAACAGTGGATAATTTAGTGGGCTTTACATGTTTACATATGTATCTGTCTGCTAAAGATATTGATTTTCCTTGTGGAACCAGGAGCCAAAGGAAAAGTAGATGCGAAGTTATATGAAGCTGGGCTAACATATCCATCAGATTCGGCCGAGATAGTGCTTAAACATGATATGGATAAAGTTAATCTTGAAGAGTTTCCATTATTCACATTCGAGACTCTTGCAAATGCAACAGACCAATTCCATGATGACAATATGCTTGGAAAGGGTGGTTTTGGTCCTGTTTATAAGGAATTTTCTGTAATCATGGGCTCCAAGTGCTGCATTTTATATAGCTCTCTTGCTGAAATTGCGGCTAATGTGCACGCAGGGTAGATTGGCAGATGGAAAAGAAATTGCAGTGAAGAGGCTTTCAGCAGCATCTGGACAAGGAATGGAAGAATTTATGAATGAAGTGGATGTGATTTCCAAACTCCAACATCGAAATCTTGTAAAATTACTAGGATGTTGTGTCGAGAAAGAAGAGAAAGTTCTCGTTTATGAATATATGCCTAATAAAAGCTTAGACGTGTTTCTATTTGGTTAGTTGAGATTCAACTTTGTTCTCCATCCTTTCAAAACGTCTTCTAGATACTTCACATCCATTGCAGAAGATTCTCGATTGGAAGAAACGTTTTAGTATCATTGAAGGTATTGGGCGAGGCCTTCTCTATCTTCACCGGGATTCTATACTAAAGATAATTCATAGAGATTTGAAACCGAGTAACGTATTGCTCGATAACGACTATAATCCAAAGATTTCAGACTTTGGAATGGCAAGAATATTTGGAGGCAACCAAGAACAATCCAACACTGGAAGAGTCGTCGGAACTTAGTAATCAAGTTTTGAATTTACGAAAGTATTGTTCCCCTTAAAGGCATGCTTGGTACACAGTATTTATATAATACTATGAACATGCCATTCGCTTTTAATATTGGACGATTCAAATTTACATGAATTTATCATGTTTTGCAGTGGATATATGGCACCAGAATATGCAATGGAAGGAAGATTTTTCGAAAAATCTGATGTCTATAGTTTTGGTGTTCTGATGTTAGAAATCATGAGCGGGAAAAAGAACACCAACTTCTACAATCACGAATGGTCATTAAGCCTTTTGGGATGTGTAGGCCACTTTGTAATCTTCCCCCCTTTTTTTCGTGTTTTCAAATATTCCTCGGGATCTTATAAATGATAATTTGTATCAGGCATGGAAATTATGGCTCAGCCTTCATAGATCAAACAATACACAAAGCCGAATTCCATGGAGAGATGGTGAGGTGCATTCACATTGCACTATTGTGTGTACAAGAATTCCCTACTAACCGGCCTACAATTTCGACAGTTCTTGCAATGCTCCTCGAGAAACTGTCGATTGGCTTTTGCAGGATCACCCGATATTTGCCGAGAAGTGGAACCGTAGTCATGTCACCTCTTCCCAGACGGGAGTCTCCATTAACAATGTCGACACTCTTACAACGCTTGGTGGACGATGATTTCCAACTTCTTCCACAGTTTTAATAAAAACGTCTATTTAGTTACATATGTTTTCTATTTCCATTTGTTACATATAATAGCTTGTTAACATTATATTATTTATATGTAATAATCATGAGTTATGTTCGTCCAATTATATGAGATTGAGACGGCTACTTGCATTTTACATAATATCAATTTAGTGTGTACAAGTTTGATTGTAATTTTTTCAATAAATTATGTTTAATATTTATGAAAATAAAATATAAAATATATCGTCCAATTATATGAAATCAAGACGGGGTTACATTCATTTTACTGAAGACTAATTTAGTGTTCATCCAAGTAAGTTTGAATATATTTTTTTTCATCCAACATGTTCACATTTTAATTCCAATCTCCATAATGGTAAATTATTTTGGATTGTGCTACACATATAGTATGCTTTACAGAATTTCTTACAGCACGATGATCGAACTTTGAAATGTCAAAATCTTGCCAGTCACTGCAAATAAATAAATAAACAATAAAAGCGAAAAAAAAAAACAAAAACAAAAACAAAAAACAAAAGAAAGAAAAAAGGCACCTTTTTTCCTTCCTTTTGAAACCTTATCCTTTACATTCCAATTCCAAAATCACACATGAACGTAAACCTATCTAGGGCTGGACAAAACTCTCGAACCGAACCCGATGATTCTTCTCAAGTTAAATACCCGAACGGGTATTTGAATTAAGAACCGACGGATATGGTTCGGTTCTCGATTCTAAGCCAAGACCCGAAGAACCGAATAAGAACAGAATCTCCGTAATTTTTTTAATTAATTTATTTTAAATAAGTAAAATTATTTTATTTTTTCTAAATAAATTTGTTAACTAGTTAATTTAGTTCAAATCATAAAATATGATTTTCCTATTTCTAATTTTCAGTTCAAAATCAACTTAATCAAATTGATCTCAATTTTATCCAAATCTGTTATTATACTATAGTGTCGTTTCTATCGGAGAAAATCGAATTAAAGCTCTACAACATCTCTCTTAATTATTTTGAGCTCGCTATCTTTATCTTTCTATGATTTTAATAATCAAATTTATGAAAAATTCAACAAAGAGAGACGTGAAACACATAAGATTGAACTACGTTATTTTGTAAGAGCTAATATTGAACATATCGTTAATTAAATTAACATAACTTTGTATATAATACGGAATCGAATGGAACTGAACCGAACCGAATAGAACTGAACCCGAACGATTCTATAATTAAATTTGGACCCGACGGTTCCACTTACTAAATACCCGAAAATTTCGGGTCAGTTCGATTTTCGTTTGAACCGAACCGAACCGGACCATGTCCAACCCTAAACCTATCCTTCGAAAACTGAAGTGAAACCATAGCAAAACCCATTCCACGAGGATGACAACTTTGACGCTGGCGTCGACATGATGATAAACCCGACAATCTTATCCCCATCTTTCACGGTCGAAGGTGAACAAATTTTGTGATGAAGCCGCAGACGAAACCGAAGCTGACAACTCCCACGCCAGCATCCTTGACGCCGATGACAGGTCACAGCATGGGTAAGTTTTTTTCGAGTTTAATCTTCATTTTCCTTTTTTTTCTTTTTTCTTTTTTTGCTCTATAGTTTGTTACCTATCACTCTCTTAGTGTAAAGCTAGTTTCCTTTGTTTCAATTGCAAAGATTGAATTTTCTTATTGCTATATGCTTCAGATAAAGTAGTTCTTATTGATAATATTTGGGGAAATTAGCTAAGATATAGCCAAACCTCACTACTATCCATATACCATGTTGAGAATGTAGTCTGTTATAGATATCATTTTGAATATTTGCCTAAACATTTAAAGGGTACAAAACTTCGGCAGACAGGAAGTTAAAATAGGGTTTACCCAATGTATTTGGCTCTACTGTAGGAAAGAATATGAGTATGACATCATGAGATAGGAAAGTTTTATTTGCAAAAAGTACCATGAGGGAGACACAAGGCAAAAAAGATCTCTTAATTTTGTTAAATTTAAAGTAACTTTGTAGGACCTTCAAGAGTCTTTAGCATACTTTCAATTATTTGCTTCCATCAGAAGATGCAAAAAGCTAAAGCGGATTATTGTAGGCTTGAAAACAGTAAGTTGTATATGGACCCAACTTCTGCTTATGCCCAGTTAGCCATCTATATTTGAATGTTCTGTGCGAAGATGAGAATTGATTATTGTCTGTTTTTGGTCAATGAAGGTTATTTAAAAATAAAAAATTTCTGATGATGACAATCCAAACGATTTTTAAAAATTTCTGATGATGACAATCCAAACGATACTAGCATAGGTGAAGAAACGAAAATTATTGGGTCCACTGTTGGAATGAAGTTTAAAGATGAACTTGGAGGAGCATGGCGTATAAACACTTTCCATCTCGAGCACAATCACAGAACAATTCCATCAAATCAAGGCTATACCGATGCAATCGTGAAATCAGTGCTTGTGAAAAGATACTTCAAAATAAATGATATCGCTGGGGCATTCCAAACTACACGTGTCCTAATCCCTATAAAAATTGGAGGTTAAAATTTTGGATAAAAAAATAATGAAATATGTGATGCTTTGTTAATAAACTTTGTGAATTCCATAAAATATGTGGTTTAAATTAATTGTTGACTTTGATTTTTTATTAACTTCATCTTAAACCAAAAAGGGGCTTAGTTTGTAACAATTTAATTTCAATATAAATAGTTTTGATCTACTTGACTTTTTAGAAGTCATGTACAATACGCATAAAAATCCTTTTGCAAGGATAAAATTGGGAAACAAGAGGGGATAATACATTTCACATATAGCTCTTCTAATTTTATAGAATTTAACGTACCAAATATGAAATATGCGTTTGAGGTAAAGTTAAAGTACACTACCTGACTTTGAGAAGAATAATGTTACAAGACAAAATGCGGGACCTAAATTTTGGAGTAGGAAACTTCGTTCAAACTTCATATAAATAGACGTTTCTTGGAATTTTGTATTGCAATAATATTTGATAAAAGAAGAGAACAAACGGATGTTTTTGCATGCATACAAATTCAAATCGATCATTGGCCACACAATTCCGACAATGATTGAAATGAAGGTATGAGTTTCAATCAAATCAAATTTTTGAGGCATTCCGAAAACATGTGTCCTAATCCCTACAAGAATGACATATTCCCGTATTCTTTCCAGCCATCAAACAAACCCAATTCAGCCATAATAATAATAATAATAATAATAATAATAATAATAATAATAATAATAATAATAATAATAACCACGTGAGCATACAACCCATTCATGAATACCAAACAAAATACAATGCCAGTAATATTTACATGTAAATTATTTTAAGGACATCAATAATAGAAAATCAACCTTAAAATAACTAAGATACTCTAGTCATTCCGACAACACCCAAAACCAGTTAGAGGCTTTCTTATATAAAGACTAGGCCTTGGTGGTATGGAGCAAAGAATCATAAACATAGCAGCTTACGTTATACTATAACATTGGCAATCTAAAACTCTGATCATGTGGGGGATTGTTAGATATTTATACAATAAATATAATATGTGAAAATATAGCTAGTTTAAATGGAACGCTCAAATGGTGGAAAGTGTGGAATTTGTGTGGGAGGTCGAAGGTTCGGGTCATGTCACATGCAATAATATAAAAAGTCTTTGATTGGGCCTTGAGCTCTTGGGTTTCCTAGATTTAAATAATAATTTTTTTTTTATTTTAATCATTTTCAGAATTATTTAACTAATCAAACTAGACAGTATAATATGACCTTTTTTCAACAAAACATTACTCTCAAGACATTAAATGTTGCAAATATTTTTGGATCATGGTAAAGGCAGTTGTATCCATTCTATCTATATAAACACACATCTAGCATCGGAAAGATATTATCAAAAAACAAAACCATAATTTTCATATTTTATAATTTTCTATACTTGCATTCTACACATTTTTTTTTCTCTAGAGAACACTTGAGAGTTCTGAAATCAACGTAATTGTTCTACAAGTGGTTTGTTTGATCGTTGTATCCTAAAAGTGATTGTTCATAAAGGTCGCAACATTTATCGACAGACAATTTCACTTTACGACATCATGCTGTCATGAAACTCACTTAATCGATAAGTTTTATTTCTGCATTTTTACTGTTTTGCAAGTTTTCAGCAAGTTACTGCAATTAATTATTTTCCAACATTATAAAGTGAAATTCATTTATAATGAGATCATTTGACTGATAAGTTTAAAGCAAGACTTGTAGTTAAAGGCTATAGATAAAAAGAAGTTGACTTCTTTGATACTTACTCTCCTGTTATTATGATTGCCTCTATTAGGTTGTTAATTGCTATTGCTTCGTTATATGATCTTATTATCTATCAAATGGATGTCAAAACTATATTTTTAAATAGAGACTTAGAAGATGAGATTTATATGGACCAACTTGAGGGATTTGTTATAGAAGGCCTTGATGATAAAGTCCGTAGGCTTGAAAATCCTTTTACGGCCTTAATTAAGCTCCTAAGCAATAACATGAAAAATTTGATATAGTTTTGACATCAAGTTGTTATGTGATAAATGAAGCAGATAAATGCATATATAGCCAATTTGAAAATATTATGGTGTGATAATCTGCTTATATGTTGATGATATACTGATAGTGGGAACTAATTTAGATGTAGTTAATAAGACAAAGTAGTTTTTGAAAAAGCACTTCAAAATAAAAGATTTGGGTGTTGTTGATATCATTCTTGGAATTAAAATAAAAAATATTCCGAAGGAAATATTTTAACCCAATCACAATATCAAGAAAAAGTGCTTAAAAAAGTTTAACCAATATAGTTGTATTCCTGTTAAAACACCTTATGATACAAGCCATCATTTGAGAAAACATTCATGTCCTAGTGTTTCCGCTTTGGAATATGATAGAGTGATTGGTAGTCTCATGTATCTAATAAATTGTACAAGACCTAATATAGCATATGCGGTCGGTAAACTTAGCAGGTATACTAATCTTAATGGTGAATACTGGGATGCTCTCATTCGAGTTTTGAGATATACTCTAGACTAGGGAATACATTATACCAAAATCCCTACTGAATTTGAGGGATATTGTTATGCTAATTGGATTTTCGATACTAATG